TATAAAAGTATTGTCGCAAATTGTGTATTTGTGTTTGGTTCAATATTTTTATATCTGTAAGTCCTCTACCTCCTTCCGAACGAGGAAGGTAAAGTCGTATAGTAGAGGAGTGAGGGTGATGTATATGGTGTTTTGTTAATAGTGTACGTGTGTTTCTCTGTATTTGTTCTAAATCTGTATTTGTCCAACGTATAATCCCAAAAGAGTATGTAAGCACTGGTTGGTGTGGCATAAGTGTTAATAGCTTTGATTGTATTTCTACCGTGTAATTTTGTTTTAAGTATACTGCGTACTCTTTGTAGGTATTGTGTGATAAGTGTTTGTTTTATACTCGTATGTTTAATGTGTGTGTTTTGCTGAAAACCAAGATACTTATAAGTTTCATTCTCGTCCATGGAATTTATTAAATTACCCTGTTCTAGCTCATAATCGAAAAGTTGTCTTTTTCCAGCTGTGATGTGTTGTGTTTTACATTTATCGATTCCAAAGTCCATTTGTATGTCACGTGAGAATGTTTCGGTAATGTGTAGAAGGTGATTAAGTTTTATGCTTGTGGAAGAGTATAATTTAAGGTCGTCCATGTAAAACAGGTGTGTAATGTTGTGATGTATTTCGTGGTTGTGTTTAATATTGTACCCAAAGTTAGTAGTGTTTAACAAATATGGAGCAAGACAAAACCAGAGCGGACTTAAAGAATCGCCTTGAAAAATTCCTCTTTTAATTTGTATTGGGTCGGTAATAAGTTTTGTGTCGTTTAGTGTAAGTGTTAACGTAGTGTTCCAACATGACATTATGTAATTGAGGAATTGTGTAATATTGTTGCTGATTTTGTATATTGAGAGTACTTGTTGTAACCAAGAGTGTGGTACTGAATCGAATGCTTTTTTGTAATCAATGTATGCAGTGTGTATGTTTCGTTTGTTATGTCTGGATTGTTCAAGTATAACAGAGTCTATAATGAGTTGCTCTGTACAGCCTCTGGAATACTTGGTACACCCTTTTTGTTCTTCGTATAGAATGTTGTTATCAGTACAGTGTTGGTATATTTTGTTTGTAATGCATGATGTAAGGATTTTGTATATTGTAGGAAGGCATGTAATTGACGTCTATATTTAGATGGGTCTTGTGTATTGTTGTCTTTTGGGAGCATGTAAGTGATACCTTGTGTAAAGAATGCAGGAGTGCGATCTGGTGAGTTAAGAAGTTCAGTAAATTGTTGTGCAAGGTAAGAGTGAGTGTAGGTAAAATATTTCCACCAAAAGTTGTGAATGTTATCAATGCCTGGACTTTTCCAGTTATTATCGGTGTTTCTTGTGAGAACTCAGGTCTAGCCTGGTTAACTAATCGCACGGATTAAAATCAAGTAACGATTATTATTATCGGTGTTTCTTGTGAGAACTCAGGTCTAGCCTGGTTAACTAATCGCACGGATTAAAATCAAGTAACGATTAGTGTCTGTGTCTGTGTCTGGTGAAGTTATGTAGGGTTATTGGAAATCTAGGGATAGTATGTAATTCATTCTTACACACGTACATTGGACATCTAGGGATAATGTAATTCGTACTTACCAACATACCTATTGATGGGCACAATAGCCAACGCTATCAGGAAAGAGGAAAACAAAACAAAAAAACAAAAACCATTATAATAATTCCTGTAATTTTATTAAATGGAGTTTATTGTGTAAGTGTTTCTTTGGCTTTGCGTTTGGGTTGAATACGAGTGGGTTGTGATAACGTGATGTGCTTCTGTGAAGAAGGAGTTTTGTGTTTTTTAATTGTATTTATGGTGTTTCTTTGTTCCTGAGGTCGTATTTGTGAGGTTGCTTGGGTTTTTGGTGGAGATATTGCAGTATTTTATGAGCCTGTGGTGCTGTTAAGGTTTTTGCGTTTCGGTTGTATACGAGTGGGTTGTTTCTGAGAAGAAGGAGTATTGTGTTTTTTAACTGTGTTAGAGCGTGTAACTTTATTGGATGGACCTGTCTTTGTAGTACATGTTGCGTTACTTGTGTTTATGGTGTTTCTTTGTTCTTGAGGTTGTATTTGTGAGGTTGCTTGGGTTAATGATGGAGATATTACAGTATTTTGTGAGCTAGTAGTGCTGTATAGGTTTTTGCGTTTGGGTTGAATACGAGTGGGTTGTGATAACGTGGTGTGCTTCGGTGAAGAAGGAGTTAGGTGTTTTTTAATTGTGCTAGGGCGTGTAACTTTATTGGGTGGACCTGTCTTTGTAGTGCATGTTGCGTTACTTGTATTTATGATGTTTCTTTGTTCTTGAGGTTGTATTTGTGAAGTTGCTTGGGTTTTAGGTGGAGATATTTTAGTATGTTGTGAGCCTGTAGTTCTGTTAAGGTTTTTGCGTTGCGGTTGAATACGAGTGGGTTGTGAAAATGTGGTGTGTTTCTGTGAACAAGGAGTTTTGTGTTTTTTAAATGTGCTAGGGCGTGTAATTTTATTGGGTGGACCTGTCTTTGTAGTGTATGTTGCGTTAGTTGTATTTATGGTGTTTCTTTGTTCCTGAGGTTGTATTTGAGAGGTTGCTTGGGTTTTTGCTGGAGATATTTTAGTATGTTGTGAGCCTGTAGTTCTGTTAAGGTTTTTGCGTTTCGGTTGAATATGAGTGGGTTGTGAAAATGTGGTGTGTTTCTGTGAAGAAGGAGTTTTGTGTTTTTTAAATGTGCTAGGGCGTGTAACTTTATTGGATGAACCTGTCTTTGTAGTGCATGTTGCGTTACTTGTATTTATGGTGTTTCTTTGTTCTTGAAGTTGTATTTCTGTTGTTGCATGGGTTATTGGTGGAGACATTACAGTATTTTGTGAGCCTGTGTTAAGGTTGTTGCGTTTGGGTTGAGTACGAGTGGGTTGTGTTTGTGATAACGTGGTGTGTTTCTGAGAAGAAAGAGTATTGTGTTTTTCAGCTGTGCTAGGTCGTGTGGGTGAGGGAGTCTTTGTAGTGCGTGTTGCGTTACTTGTATTTATTGCGTTTGTTTGTTCAGAAAGTTGTGTTTGTGTGGTTGGTTGAGTTAAGTTTGGAAATATTACAGTATGTTGTGTGTCATGTTGTGAGTCTAAAGTGCTGTTTAGGCTTTTGCGTTTGGGTTGAATACTAATGGGTTGTGATAATGNGTTTATGTGATTATTTTTATCTATCGATTGCTGGGGTGTCGCAAATATATGTATTTCAGAGTTGTTTAGAACGGGTGTATTATCTTGTACGATGAGTGTGTTGTTTGTGTTGAGTAGTGCTTCAATTTCGTGCCTGATTTGTTCCTGTGTGTCTAATGTAAGGAGTGTATTTTTAATGATAACTCTACGTTGGTCTGCAATGCGTTGTTCTGTCAAGTGTGCTAAATGTGGGTATTGTGTAATGAACGCGTGATATAGTTTACCTCTGTATGCTGTCCTGTCCGTTTCCATCTTCGTGATCTCCAGATACGTACCAAAAATGAAGCGATTCATCCCTTCGTTCCATTTCATACGTCTTTTGGAGGTTTCCTTTGCGCTGGTCCCATCCACAAGCGGTTGAGAAGCAGGCACAAAGGTTTATTTATTATTATTATTATTATTATTATTATTATTATTATTATGATAGTCAAAGAATTAGAAGAGATAACGCACAAATAAGGAAATTAAGAAAAACAGGAAATGGCGATGAGTCAGATTTGGGGAATAGGAGAAAAAAAATGCAAAAATGAGTCTAGAAGAAGGAAGATGCAATTGTAATAAAAGGTGTTGATGTATGGGATGAATATGTGAAGATGGACGAAAGAAGTGTCATAAGTCGGTGATCCTCCTTAATCAAAGAGTAGAAAAAAGGACAAGAATTGAGATGATAAGAATAGAGACGGAATGTAGAGCGGTACGACATAAGAGGAATAGAAAGAGAAATTGAATTCTTCACAACAAGAACGGACAGAAGATAATACAATGGTAATATTTGTGGGGACAAATGCAAAATATATCCAAAGGAACGGGTATGGATGGAAAAAGGAAGAGGAGGAGAGGAAGAAGGAAATATATACATTGCAGCAACAAATAATATCCAAGAGAAGGAGGGGCGATAAAAACGGGAGCCATAAGTTGAAGTGAGGAAGTGAAAGATGGAGTGAGGAAAAAGAAGTTCAGACTAGAAAAAGAAGAGAATAAGACCGTCTAGTATGGGAAGAAGAAAGGTGGAAAGAAGGGGGACAAGGAGGAGGCGTAGAAGCTAACAAGCTCAAAGCACCTTTCAACACTCAGGGATGTCAATCTTTGGTCTAGTGGTCACGGTTCCAATTTTGGATTGTCACTTCCACATATATTTTAGAAATGACAATTAACAGAAGGCAATAGGGGATTCATTACCTGATCGCACGATCTTTGCCTATTTCATGTAGAATTTTGATGACGGATTTAAACTTTTACCACTCGCGTGCCATTGAATTAGTTACAACCCACCTCCCAAATTCTTCGACCAATTGTACGCAACTTCAGCAAGAGGAAAGCTTTAAAATTTGGAACAAAAGCTCTCTATTCCCCAGAGGCATGGAGAGAAATTGTAAGGAGCACCATACGCGAAATTGCTGTAGTCGGTAACATAAACTAAAATATTTACGTTATCATTCCAGAGTTAAGGGTTAGTGATGATACAGCTGCTCGGTTCTCTTTTGTAAACGAAACACTCGCTAGCGTTTATGTACACGGCTCGTGTGCTCCGTCAAGTGGATCATTCAAAAGAAACATGCCATCCCCCTAAATTAATAATGAGTGGTAAAAACGCCAAGCTGCGATTTTCATATACACCCCTATCGTTAACCGCCTAGTTGGCTACGTAATGATTAAAGCAGTAAAGCGTAACAATATAATTTATGTTCGAGCAGCTTGTTTTATAAGTTTAAAATTTAGGGCCTCCGCGAATGAAGTGGAAGAGCGACTACTCCGTAATTAAGTTTTAACTTTGAGTAAATTTACAGACGAAACAAACTTTGATGTAGCGTCGCGTCGCGAAGTTGAGATAAAAAAGGAAGATCGTCATGTCAGAATGACTTACGGGCAAAAGTGTGTTCTTATCATTTTAATTCAACTTCTATTTTTAATTATCAAGTTTGAAGCGCAGGAGGATAACTCGGGGCAGTTTACTGAAAAAGACCCATCAAGTGCAGATAACGAACTTTCGCCTCTCATTTCCGAATACAACGGCTATAATGAAATTGGCGAAGGCGACATGGACGGTTACGACAGCTCGGACAGCGAGTACGAAGGTACGATAATTTTATTTGTCGAAAAATCTACGCGTCTCCATTGCTTAGGTGTAACCAAAGCGACGTTTATACTAATGAACGTTGAAAATTAGCACTTTGAAAGTTAACGTGCTACGAAATAAAGAAAAAAAGTTAGTAACATAATTTCCGCGAAATAAGTGCCCGCCTTGTACTAAATTAGGTTGTTTTTGTTTGTCACGACACGTTAGAGCGTGAAACGAGTTGTTTTTTTCTTTCATCTTTGTAGACGTAGATAAGAAAAACATCCTCAAAGGTGAAACGTTGAAGTATATCACGACCTGATGAACCTATACGGCTCGGTGTTGCTTGTAACATTTTTCACATCTGGAGCTTCACACGATTTCCATCAGAGATGCTGAAATTATTTATAACAGCAGAAAATATTACTACAGTGTAAGCTAATGAAATTGAAAACGCTCTGTACAGAACTGAAACAAATGCTCTGATTACACCTTTGGTCCAATCCGTTTTTAGGCGATTGGCAGCAAATCCTGCATATGAGTACAAAGTTCGCAGTATCAAAATTTGCAATTCATATTTTATACCCATGTTACGGTTATCGCTTTATTGCCATTGCTTGAATAATACCAGCGGGACTCTTTCAACTTTTAATGTCCACAAACACGCCACTCAGTTCTGAACCTCGGTGTAAATTATCACGTTTGGGATTGATACGAAAGCTTTCCGTAATTTGTCACGTAGGGTTTGCGCTGAGACCGCTTTAACGAAGATTTACGGCGACTTTTCTTTTGCTGCTTTTTGATTACAATCGGAGTGTGTTACCATTCACAAGTTCGTTAATTACAGGTTTCATCGGAGGAACGAGTAGAAAACAGCGCAAGCAGAACCAAGATAATGTTGACTTGAAAAAGGGCCCGAAGGTGTGGGACCATTGGGGCAAATGGGGTGCGTGTTCCGTCAGCTGCGGAATTGGAAAGATCACTCGATGGAGGCATTGCGTTTCGGGGGGATGCGCAACTGGCGAGAAAGAAGCGCAGATTAAAACTTGCACTCTGCCTGCGTGCTAAATACTTTCTTCACACTTTTTTTTGTATTTTTATGATTTTTTAAAACTTGGATACCCATAATACTACAATATTTACGAACATGAAACAGGCGCATATTCAATTCGATTGCGACCCGTAATCGACCTTGTGTATTCGGATTGTAGTAGGAAACACAATCTTGAAAACCCAATTTTGCATAACGGGCTTATACTTCGAATCTTGAACATGGAGCCGCCTCGAATTTTTAGTTTTAAATCTAGGACATTCATTATTGACCCATGAATCAACTTTTGATCGAGGGCTTTCGGGTTCTATTCTTTATTTTTAGGAAACTTTCAACGTAATTGAGCATTGGGTTTTGAGTATCGATCTAGTGATCTGGATAAAACTTTGGATACCACATTTTTATTCACTTCTCCTCTTCTATTCAGTGAAGTTTTGCAGAAGTGTACTATTAGCTTTCAACCCATCAATGGTCATTGTTTGTACGAAATTGTGCTTAAGAGTGTAAAGAGGTCACGAAGAATAGAACACGGAGAAAACAGATGTGAAGGAATATGTGTAAAAGAGAGAGGCGCGAAATGAGCCCAAAGGGAAAAAATGGTAGAAAGTAAGTGCAAAAGAAGGTAAGGCTTGTAGAGAGACCATTGCAAGAAAGAAAAATAAAAGTCACAGAAACCGAATGATGGGGTAAAAAGGGCATAATGAAAATGTCAAAGCGGCCTGGAGATAATAAATATGAAGAAAGTCGTGAAGGAACGTGGAGCGGTGTTGGAAGAGGACGAGGAGACGCTCAAGAAGTAGGTTTGACCAGACGTGCAAGAAAGAGGCGAAGAGAGCGATGAATTAAAAGAGAGCAAATAGTTGTAGGTACGAAAGCGTAATGGAGGGAGACGTGGAGGAGTCAACAAGTGGACATGAAGCAGAAGTACAATGGAAAATGCTGCGATAGTAAGGCCTGAAGAAAGAGTTTGAAGGAGGTATGAGAGAGGTATGAGAAAACCGTAAGGAAGTGTCAAAGAGGTATGAATAAGCAGAAAGCCCGCAAAGTACGATCTGGTAGTAGTAGGTACGAAAAAAAGAAAATGACGGCGGACAAAGGTGGAAAAAAGCGTAAAAAATGAGTACATGAAGGTACTGCAGGTACTGGAATAAGTTGTAATTAAAAAGGCGTGATCAAGCCAAAAGCACACGGAGGTGAATGTGAAGGAAAATGAAAAATAGCATGAAGGGAAGGTTGAAAAAATCGTGAAGGAGAGAGATCGTGACGAAAGGAAACAAGGGCGTGAATGAGTGACAATGGCGTGGAAAAGTGAAGAGACGTACAGAGAGGGGAGTACGCCGGGAAATGTATGGAAACGTCAATGATGTTTGAAGGGTGCGTCGAAGAAAAGGCCTTCTAAAAAGGAAGTGACGAGAAAACCTTAAAGAAAAGGAGTGCAAAGAAAGGAAGCGTGAACAAAGTAAAAGAGGCATGGTGGAAGCGCTTTAGGAGATAGACTCAAACAAGTCCGAACTTGGTACTTAGGGGGCGTGAAAGAAAGAGACGTGAAAGGAAAGAAGTGGACGGGAAATCTAGGAGCAAAGAAATGGTAAAACTAGCATTAACGACGGGTTGTTTAGAAAGAGGGCGTGAAAGCGAGAGTCGTGTATAAGAGTTTAAGAAGTAGTGAAGTCTGCGTGAAACAGACTTCAAAAAGGTGCACAGGAGGCGGAAATAGATTATGGATGAGTGAGAAGAGAGGTGTGAACGAGGAAGCGACAGAAAATGAAGGGGGGGGGCATATGAAGCATGCGTGAAGGTTTGAAGGGGGCCTGCCGTATATAAAAAAGCAGAAGGTGTAAAGAAATGGCGCGAAGGAGATATAATTACAAGTAAGAGGTGTGAGGGATAGGAGGGAAAGGTGGAAGTAAGATATTCATTAAAAATGAGGGCATAGGGCTCTTAACGGGATGAACCACCTATAAGACCAGTAAGACATTTTTCCGAAAATTGGTTTATTAAAAGGTCCAGATTTATGTACCCCGTTAACCATAACCTTGGTCCGGTAAAATTAGACCTGGATGAAACCTCAACTTGATCTGAAGAAAGCTTGTGGTTCAATGGTAGAGCGTTGGGCTATAAATTCGGAGGTCGGGTGTTCGAACCTGGCTTGAGGTGAATTTTTCATCTATATATTTCATATATATTCGTTTAAGATTTACCTGTCATCTGTAGCATCCAAAGTGCTGGTCCTATCACAAAATTCTTGTAATCAAAGTAGTAGAGAATTTAATAGCGAGTTCAAAGAAATTTTGAAATTTGACCGATTTTAACCATATTTATATACCAAATTTCAAAAACAGTTTTGAAATATTCTAATAAACACTAAAATTTTATCTACCCCATCATCTTTTGGGTCCATCTCCCCCAGTTAGTTGATGAGGTCCTGCTCCTTTTCCTTCCGGGCGTTTTGTAATTCAGGTAGATTGTCAAACACTTAAATCCAGCCTTTCGACAGGTGCACCAACCCCTGCACCCTATCCTGCAATTGCAAGAGGTGCATTCGAGTTGGTTATTACAACAATGAGCCTGCGTTGTTTTCCAACCCCAACCGAGGTGGTCTCTTTCCGTTCCACACCTCACCTGTATCTGATGGTATGCGCGAAGGGAACGTTCCCTTGTTGCGGCGGAGGTACGAGATATGGCCTGGTTTCAGCAGGTTGCATGAGGAGGGCACCAGTGCAGTAAGAAGGATGAGCAGGTCTGTATCTTCTGTTACGGTACACCCTGTAGGTACATGAGATCGACATTCATCAAAGTTCAAATAAGTATTGAAACGATATCGCAGTTGGCACGCATGGCAATTGTTTGTCTTGCCTTTCTTTCCTTTTCAAACTGTCGAATCGTTAAGGTCGGTTGTGCAAATATTATAAGTACCTACCGAGTAAGTAACTCATGTAATTATTTATTGTTCTTCTGATACACTTGTGTGATTGTGATAGTATAGTAATTAGCATTGTTAAGGTGAATTGAGTTAGTTTTCATGCCTTATTATGGATTGTAGTTGTGCATGTGTCTCATTGATAATCACTCAAATGTCGCTTGATATAAGCACAATATGAATGATGTAATTATGTATTGGTGATCGTCATGGAGACGTCAATTAGTTCTTGTATTAAATACGTGTTGCATGTAGGTGAGATTGGAACCGGTCAGTCGCCACCAAAGATACCCACGGTACGTCACTACTCACTACAGGACGATAAGACCACCATTTTGGGCGTCGCGATCGGCTGGATCTGCTGCGGGCCGGGACAGTCGGGTGGAGGTATATCTACCGCTCCTTTTTTCGCCGCTCACCTTTAATTTAATTAAAATATATATAGTCGCGTCAAACTTGGACTGTGATAAATGGTTATTGCTAATTACTAGTTAACGCACATGGTGCACCCTATTCTCTATGTATTACTAATTATTAATAAATTAATTGTACCCCACACAATATCGATCTTACCGATCTGCGGCTTCCCCGCTTATTATTATCTTTCTATTAGTATTAAGCGAGTCGCTTCACCGCAACTCGCTACACTTCCACCACAGTACACAATTACCACAGTAGGGTACTCATTAGCTCTTGCGTTAGATTCTTTCACGATGAGAGTATCTTCATCTTCAATAACTGTGCAACTCTCTGACGTCATCTTGGTCTTTAACATGGGTATTAACCGGTCTATTCTCCACGTTATACAGGAACCCTTCTTTCGGCATTGTGGACGTCATGGATTCCGTAAATAGGACAGTGGTTGCAGAAAGCTTTTGTTGGTGATGAGGGCGCTCTGCTGACTTGGTACTTTTGGCTTCAGCTCCTTTAGGGTACTTACCCGTCAAAAATTACTGAGGCTTGTAGTAGACCATTCATGTATGCCACGTGTTTATTAAGAAAGGTTCAGAGCTCTTCATTTCACTGCCATGGTACCTTGTCTAATAGGAAACCATCGTCATTCACAGACACCTTGGGAGAGATCAACAGCTTCAGTAAATGGAGTCAGAATACTGACTTTTCCGCATTCCTGTATCGTCTAAAATTGAAATAGGGTATGGCGTCAACTCATATTATTGAATAATTTGAGCCTTTTATTCGACACGTTGAGGAACGTGATTCTTCGAAAGATGGTGTTCAAGTTGACAGGGATATTTTCGATATAGAACGTAACCTTGGATTTGACGGCTTTAAAAGGGATTGATTACTAAGACTTGTCTGTAAAATTTGACATCACTAAGGTTTTGCCCAAAAATTCTCTGTATGCTGCCTTTCCCCAAGTGCTTGGTGGCAATCAATGGTCTAATCACCAGTTATCACAGTGCTGATGTTCATCACAACATCACTAATAAGGAAAGGATCATATGACTCAAACCAATCAAGCAATACCGCAATATCTCGATTGTCTCTTGTAAACCTCTTCAAATTGCAAAAAAAATTCCATATTTGGAGGCATAGATGCAGTCCATTTTGTAATAGGATTAAGTAGGTAGAGTAGACACAGAGTTGAGCACTGCTATAAAACATGTAAGCGTGACGATCAATAAAATTCATTAATTATAATTGTGGATTAACTAATACATTATCCTGGATACCAAACGCAACGCATTTCATGATGGTACTATCAGTAACCCCTCGTCCATGGATCAAGTCTTGACCATAACCTAGATCGTTCCCCGGACGGACTATAAAAAAGCTTTGTTTCGCGAAACTGTCAAACTCAGCATCTGACAGCTGCGACTTCAGATTCATCATGTCCTGCAGGTAGAGCTGGCATGATTTAGAGTTTAAAAAAACAACATTCCTGTTTCCTGTCTTTTTCCTTCCTGGATCCATCCATCCATCGAGGTGTACTGGAGGTTTTCTAGCGCTAATGTTTTGCATTAAGCCATTCCACTCCCGTACGTCTAGGTGCTGTTTTCATTTTCCAGAAATCCATAAGTAGTAGGTCACTGAGAGCAAGTTGCACTTCAGTGAGTAGCTTCTGCTCATTGATGTCATAGCTGACAATGGACTTGAGGCGCTGTTGTCTGCTCTCTTGGAAAGGTACCAAAGGTATAGCATTTGATGCACTGATTTGTTC